CTTGCAACAAGGGGGAATTCAACCCTACATAGGTTTAGACCTGCCTTTACGAGACAGCGAAAGGCCATCACAGATTTCCTGATGTTAAAAGCAGATAAAGGTACTCCCCACTGTGTAACTTAGATGTCAGCCATTGGCAGCTCATGCGTGACACCTGCCGCTTGCTCAGGCCCTTTGAGGAGGCCACGCTATTCCGTGGAGTCGGCAGGACTATGGATGAACGACGTCATTCCTCTGTATTGCACGTCCTGGAACAAATGCTGTTAACAATGGCTGGTCAGGGTGCGGTAGACGTGGCGCACAGATCTCAACGCCACATGGCCCCTGTGGGGGCATGGACTGGAAGAAGAGGAAAGGAGGTAGAGGAGGACATTGGTGCTCAGGAATTATTGAGTGAAATGGTGGTGTTTTTCCACTCAGCGGACAGGAGTGGAGAGCAGGAGCATCTGGTAGAGGAGGAGGAAGAGGAGACAGAGGACCTAGACGCACCGTGGCAGTATGCTGTGGAGATGGAGGCAGGGAGTCCCTCGCATTCCTTGGCACAAATGGCCCATAGCATGCTCGGTTGCTTGCGTAGCGACAGCCGAATAATAACCATCAGACAGAGGGATGACTTTGGCTGTCCACCTTGTTTTGGACCCTCGCTACCGTTCAAAATGGTGGCCTTTTTTCACACCTGCTGAAGGGAGGGCCAAAATAACGTACTATAAAAAACACCTATGTAGTCAGCTGGTCTCTGCCTGTCTGCGCCAACGTCCATCCTCAGACACTGTGGGCCCTGTGCGCTCGTGTTCCGCTGCCCATGGCAGCAGGGAGGGGGTGGGTGGGGTAGGAGCAGTGGCAGCTCCACCAGCAGCGGCTGCCTCAGTCTGCAGTCGATTGATGAGTAGCTTTCTTCACCAGCGCAGTGAGGAAACTACTAACCAGCCGCAGCAGCAGCAGCAGCATCAGTGGACCTGGAGCAGGAACCTCAAACAACAGGCTTAGGCCTACTTGGACAGCACCCTGCCAACCGAGGTAGACAATCCCCTTGACTACTGGCAACGAAACTTGACCTTTGGCCCCAACTAGCTGAATTTGCCCTTGAAAGGCTGTCATGCCCGCCAGTAGCGTGGCATCGGAGCGCGTGTTTAGTGCGGCAGGAGGTATTGCAACTCCGCGGAGGACACGACTGTCCACCCAAAGTGTGGAGAGACTAAATCCCGCCATGAATCATGCCCCAAACATGTGCCACTTTCAGGTCTCCTCACACTGCTGTGTGTGTTCCATTTTTTGTCATAGGTGTGCTGGCAGATTACGGGCCTCCCATAGCTGCTGCCAGGCCCCTAATCTGCCATGGGCCCCTATACCGCCTCCTCATGCTGCTGCCAAGTCCAGAGTCTCTCATGGGTCCCTGTACGGCCTCCCATTGCTGCTGCCTCCATCGCCACACTCTGCCATGTGCCACTTTCAGGTCTCCTCACACTGCTGGTGTGTTCCATTTTTTGTCATAGGGTGCTGGCAGATTACGGGCCTCCCATAGCTGCTGCCAGGCCCCTAATCTGCCATGGGCCCCTATACCGCCTCCTCATGCTGCTGCCAGGTCCAGAGTCTCTCATGGGTCCCTGTACGGCCTCCCATTGCTGCTGTCTCCATCGCCACACTCTGCCATGTGCCACTTTCAGGTCTCCTCACACTGCTGGTGGGTTCCATTTTTTGTCATAGGGTGCTGGCAGATTACGGGCCTCCCATAGCTGCTGCCAGGCCCGTAATCTGCCATGGGCCCCCGTACCGACTCCTCATGCTGCTGCCAGGCCCGTAATCTGTCATGGGCCACTGTTGTCGCTTGTTGGCATATTCCGCTCGTTCAGATGCTCCTTCTCCTGCTACTCCTCTTCACGGATTCCGTCAGCAGTCTTTCTTGGAATCCGTTTCCAAGAGACAACAGTTTGCGAGCACGCACCCGACGGTGCAGAAGCTGAACGTCCTCCTGTCCAAGTTGCTGCTGCCAGGCTCGTAATCTGTCATGCGCCCCTGTACCGCCTCCTCCTCATGCTGCTGCCAGGTCCAGAGTGTGTCATGGGCCCCCGTACCGACTCCTCATGCTGCTGCCAGGCCCGTAATCTGTCATGGGCCCCTGTACCCGCCTCCCCATGCTGCTGCCAGGTCCAGAGTGTGTCATGGGTCCCTGTACGGCCTCCCATTGCTGCTGCCAGGCCCGTAATCTGCCATGGGCCCCTGTACCGACTCCTCATGCTGCTGCCAGGCCCGTAATCTGTCATGGGCCCCTGTACCGCCTCCTCATGCTGCTGCCAGGTCCAGAGTGTGTCATGGGTCCCTGTACGGCCTCCCATTGCTGCTGTCTCTATCGCCACACTCTGCCATGTGCCACTTTCAGGTCTCCTCACACTGCTGGTGGTTTCCATTTTTGTCATAGGGTGCTGTATGGCCTCCCATTGCTGCTGCCTCCACCGCCACACTGTGGCTCCACACTCTGGTTTTGGCCCCGTGACTGCCCAAATGAGTGAAGTGTGCGGTGATTCTAAGATCGACGGCACTCATCTGCATGTCATACTGACTGACAGTATTATTTCTCTTCCCCAGCAGACTCCAAGGGCATTTAAATTAAAGGTACAGTGTTCTGCACTAATATTAAGTCTCTCTGAAGCCTAGAAACACCCTTTTTTTAAGTTAAATTCACAGCGAATTTATTCGACTCGAATCGAATATTGTCCACGAATTCGCCGAATCAGTCGAATCGAATTTTTCATTTCTTCGCTCATCTCTAATCCTAACTAATAGATGGCCCATGCATGTGCCAGTTCATTGTGACATAGTCCATAGATGGTGGCATGTCAAGGCTTTCGGAGGTATAGAAGGGAAATGAGTTGGTCTCTTCTGGAAACAGGAACAGCAGCAGAACAGAACCACACTGGAGTGTACAGGGCCTCCACCTTCCCCCAATTTATATCACAGGTGAACTCAAAAAGCCAACACACCAGTATCAGAGATTTTAACTCTTACCCAACCCAGCCTGGGCCAAAGCTTAACTTATTAATAATTGTCATCCTGCTTAAAACACGCAGTTAGGATTATGTTTAACTAGGAATGGAAAACTGATGTTTTTATGGGGTGCATGTGGCCCTCTTGCTACTTCTCTGTGGCACTCAATAGTTTAAGATAGCAAAAACATATTACCCCCTACCTGTTCTTACACTGATAATTCATACTTTCTTTACAAAATTTTATAACTGGGGATTTAAAATATTGTAAATTGCAATTTTTACTGTAATGTTAAAATTCAAATTTTATCTGGAATTAAGTAAACCCATCCCCCTGTAACTACAAATGTGGTGACAGCACAAGCATGATCTTTGAGTCCCTCTGCCACAGTGGCAGATGAGACTTATCGTCTTTCCATTCCATCACTTTTTTTTCCCCTGCACTTCTAGACTTCCCCAGAAAATTCTTTCCACAACCATGATCCCTAATAGTGTACCAAGTATGCTGATACCTATTCTAGAGTCAAGCGCAATTTATATTAAAGTGAATGTCTACCAAAAAAAAAAATGGTTGTCACATTGGTCACATGGTCAGAAGCTCCTGACCATAAACAGTGAGTGGAAGCTGACTATGATAGCTCGGTCACCATGTTGGGAGCACGCACTGGGTATGCTTTAAGCATAGAAGAGCAGTTCTCCATGGACACAATTTGCAGCGATTCAATGTTAAGGGCCACTCCAATGCGGCTGTATATAAGCCTTCTGGCAGTGAAATTTGGTTAAACACATACACATTACACACACAAAGTACAGATGTGCACCACACAAACTGTGATAATGCACATTTTGTTGATTTTGATGTGCACCAACACACTAAGACCTGTTCACACCAGCAGGCATGCATTATAGTGCACATAACATATCTGCTGATGTGCATTTTACACATTCACTGCAGTGCATTGTTATAAAACATAGCAATGCTTAAAAAACGTGTGCGCTGCTATGTTCTATTTAGAAACGTATTAAAAAATTATTCAAAATTACATATCAGTTCACACCTATGCCATTCAACCTAGCAAAAATCTAAACATAAACAAATTTTAGGGCAGTGTATGTAATTCCATAAAATATCTTGTGCCTCATAAAAAAACAACAAAATCCACCAAGTCTCTTGTGTTGTGACTTAAAAATGTATTTCCGTGCTCATTGTGTCAGCATTAGTCTCATATGTCTCCTATCCATGCTTCCTTCTCCAGCAGTGCATTAATAATCAGGATGTGCTCTCACCTTAAATTATTGACCTATATATTATAGAGGTCATAAATAGTATATTTCCCCCCTTTATGGGGTCCACAGGTGCCAGGAAATCTCAAATTTTCCCTACTGACACTCAAAGCAAAGCACAAACACTACATAGTGCTTACCATTTAAAAATTTTTTTTTTTAAAAAACCTTTAAATGTAAACATACTCATATTTGATTGTACACTAATACTCAATGTACACAAGTGAACAGCTTGGTCAGCTCATACATTGTTGTCTTTTATTGCCAGTCTCTTTCACACAAAATGCTAACACTTCCCAGTTCCTGCATGTCCGTGATGACATCACCAAGACTCCAACCAATGCATTTCATCACAGGCATGCAACTTCTTCAGGGGATCCCCTGATGGTGAGAGCACATCTTGATTATTAATGCACTACTGGTGAAGGAAGTGTGGATTGGAAACAGAATATTGGTGACACAAGGAGCACACATTTTGTTTTCACATCACAAAGAACGTTTTGGAATTACACACATTTATGCTATAGTTTTGCACTATATTTTTAATTTCTTGATAAGTTGGTTGGTGAAAGATTGTTCACACATGAACAGATATATGGTAATTTATTAAACTAGCACATGGGTAGCACTGCACTAAAATTTGTTTTATATATATATATATATATATATATATATATATATATATATATATATATATATATATATAAATGCTCTACTTAATTTGTTTTCCTTTTTTCAAAACGTTTTCAATTAAATCATTTCAATGCTATGTGCAGCAGCATGTTGCGGCACAGTGGTGTATGGTGTTGCAATAAAATGTATGCCTGAATCATTTTATGACAATGCACACCAATGCAACACCCAGACATGGCAACGCGGATAGACATTCCCAGGTATAGGTGTAAAGCTAACTTGTAGATTTATAGCATTAATTGCTTATTTACAGTTTTGCATATGTTTGACCTTTTTGCAAAAAAGGCATGATTTAAAATGTGCAAAAAATTGTTCTTTATTAACTGAATACATTTTTTTTTTAGATTTAGAAGGATTTTATGAAGTTATTTTGTGTTTTTGAGATATATTGTTTTAGTAATGACTTTAGTACTGTTATTGAAAATATCGGTTTGAAAAACATTAGCAAAACTATCACATGGCTTACAAAATCAGTAGTACCACCTTTTTTTTTCTAACAGTCTTAAGCTTTCAGAAAATTTAAGATTTGGGGGGTATTTTACAAAGTCTATAAGGTGTAATTGAAAAATGATAAGCTTCATATTTTTAGAGCAAGGTATTTATTTACAATTTTGTGAAACTTTTGATTTTCATCATTTTGTAAAAAGGCACAATTAAACATTTAGAAATATTTGCTATTTATTAACTTGATAAAGTTTTAACTTTAGATTTAGTAGGCGTTAATTAGGAATGTTGTAAGTTATGTTGTATTTTTAAATGCAAATAATGATTTTAGTTTAATTTTATGTTAAAAATCAGATCTGTTAAAAATTTGCCAGATATAATGGAACCTATAAAATCAGCAACACCATCTTCTTATTTTACCAGTCTTGTGTTTCAGAAAATGTATAGTTTAGGGAGTCTTTTAAAAACTCTGAAAGCTGTAAGTGAAAGATAAAGAAGTTAAATATTGCAAAAATGGTCTGGCCACTTGAGGCTAAAAGTGGAGTGCAGGACCTAGCATCAAAAGGGTTAATATTTATTGTCCTCCATTGAATCTAAGTTGTGATTTAGGTTGCACTTCCATGCTGCTAATCAGAGGAATAAGTCTTGAATTATGATGCAATATAAAGTGTGTCAGAGATAAATTATTTGTCTTCCAGTCTTTACTCTAGCCTACTATTTTATGTAGAAATGTATGCTATTGTGGAACGTCTGAATGATAGAGAATTGTGGACAGCTAATTTGATGCCCTTTTCCATGGTTTACTAAACTTAAAATCACACTTACAGAAAAAAAATATTTGTTTCCACTTGTAATACTTTATCATATGCAAAATATCACTTTAATTTAAAGCATTGAAGACTATCAGCAAGATAGGAGATAACTGTTGAATTTTGTGACCCATATTCAAAGTAAAAATTTCTAAATACCATTTTTAAAAATACCAAAATTAAATTTTGGCAGAAGGATCTCTTATCAAATGAAGTAAAGCTGGAAGTTAAAAGGGCAGCTCAGTCCACCCCAAAGTCACATTAAGTGAAGTTTGTGGGGTACATCAAACATTGCCTTGTTTTATCTTTTGGGGACTCCAGTGGCAAGAACTCTCCATCATATTTACTAGGACTACCCCATGGTAGCTTGGACATCACTATAATGGGATGTCCACATTACTTAAGTTGCATTTTCTAATAAAGGTTATAGCCCAACTGATGTCAGAGAAATATATATGCTGTCAGAAAGACACTGTAAAAACAACCATTATTTACATAGTCTTACCTTGAATTTCCTGTTACAGCAATTGTGAAAGGTACATAAAAATGACTGTGCAGTTGACCATGCACCAGAATTAAACACAGTGTTCTTAGTAGTTAGCTCTCAGTAACAGTTCTGGTAAGACACATCCTCTTCCCTTCTCTGCAATACAAGACAAGTCTATGTGAGGGCACATGTGAGTTATATGCAATTTCCTGAACCTAGATCAGGGGTGGGCAAACTTTTTGACTTGAGGGCCGCAATGGGTTCATATATTGGACCCGGGGGCCGGACCAAGAGTAGATGAATGATGTGTATGTGTCATCCATAGTAAGTATAGTAATATTCCCCCATAGTAAGCATAGTAATTAATCCCCCATATAGTAATTCATCCCCCATAGTAATTATCCCCCCATATAGTTATTCATCCCCCATAGTAATTCATCCCCCATAGTAATTCATCCTCCATATAGTAATTCATCCCCCATATAGTAATTCATCCCCCATATAGTAATTCATCCCCCATAGTAATTCATCCCCCATATAGTAACTCATCCCCCATAGTAATTCATCCCCCATATAGTAATTCATTCCCCATATAGTAATTCATTCCCCATATTAATTCATCCCCCATATTAAGTCCCCAAGTCCCCCCTGTGTCAATTCACTTACCTTTGCTCCGCGTGTTCCTCTCGCTGTGTTCCCGCGCCGTTCCGGTGTAGCATGAAAATCTGTCTCCTATGAGGATCTGTCCCCCTCGACGTATCTGCGCATGTGCCAGTTTCAGGCATTAGCAGCCGATCGGCAATCTCCGGCACATGCGCAGATACGTCGAGGGGGACAGATCCTCATAGGAGACAGATTTTCATGCTACACCGGTCTTCAGGGTGGACTGTGAGAGGAGCCTAGTGGGAGACTAGCTCCGCGGGCCGGATTAAAAGG